AGCAAGTCATACACAATACTCTTACCAGATGCGGACGTTAGTCCACCAAATTGAGAGTAAAAGCCTTGGAGATGTAAAGACAGGGTTGTTTCCTTGTTTTGACAGGGGCCACCAAGATGTGTCAAGCCCACCTAAGCCATGGACACACTAATAGCAAATAAAAGAATCCTACTCTCGTACGAAATATATGAGCTCTTCGATCAAATAATGGGCAGTAGGACCAACACATTTTCACATCACTACACTAACAAAATACAATCGTTTCTTTTCCCTCTTGAATAAACTTTATATTATTATTGCAGTATCTAATACTGCTTTTATCAACGGAACATACGCAGCAATTGTTTTAGGCAAATACAGAGTGTTTATGCTCCTATGTAAAGGGCCCAGAAACCACTGATCGCGCCTCGCTCTCAGATTCCATCAGCTAACTTCATAGTGTGCGTGCGTATACAGGTGAGGGATCAGGCGACAGTGGCTCACTCACTGAAAACTTTCGCGGTGTATGCTTACTGTCTTACCAAAACCCACTGACACGATCCGAGCTCGGTTGTACGCATGGCTTTTGCTGATCCCGAAGAGTAAAAGTATAATTTTTCTCGGACTATTCCCAGATTCGACCGTTGATTGTGCGGATCTCGTTGGTGTTGGGGTTGTTCCGGAGATAGCTTTAATGGGAATAGATCCCATTCACTTTTCTCTTGGACCCCATCTGACAGAAATTTGGAAAATCGGGCAATACCGAATTGGTGAATGCTTTTCATTTTGAGAGACAAGCAGCAGGTTGATCAAGCCTCATTCTGATATCTATTACCCACACAAAGTTATTATTGTATTCTTAGGTAGGTAATATGTAAGTAATTGTTCTATGGAAAGTATACAGTATGGGTTTCTGTATATCCATATTTTGAATGTTCCTTCGATGCCTTAGATATTGACCAAATGGTCTCAATAGGACATCGGTTTGCATCATGTGAATTACACGGATTAGTTCGTTTTCCTTCACGATGGCATGGTCTGGAATCCGACTGCTGTCCAGGATCTCCTGACTGTTGCCAATCTCTTCGAATTCCTTGCCGTTGTTTCTCTTCTTGTTACCTGCATAGCAGCATACAACTTGATCATCATATTTTCTGATATGGACCAGATTCTATCGGGTCGCTGAGAAAGGGATAGGTAGACTGGAAGTTAGCTCGTTGGATTATCAGTTTGCTTGTCACCAGTTTCAAATATCAATAATCATGACGGAGACGTATTGATAATGATTCACCAATAAGGATCAAACACAAATGCTGCCCAGACCTTCGCCGGCGCTTTTCTTGAGGAACGTGATAAGTGTTTTACGCCTTTTCCCATCAAGCTTAGCCAAAACCCACCGTACTTTTTTTAGCCTCGATGCACAAACGTTAGTCACGCTGCATTAAGTGAGTCAGATCAAAAAGTATCTGACTATTATGAAGTCAACGGATGTTGAAAAAAATGTTTCCTCGACAAGTGTTGATGTTGCAAAGCTTAGTTAAGAAATCAGGTGTGACAGTCGCATGCTGCACCACATGTTGACCGGGGAAGGTTTAATCGACATGCCCGTATTGGTAAATCATAGAGCACATCTCTTACAGCTTCATTGTTTCCGTATAACATGCGATATTGGCATGAGTAAAAATCTCCAGTGCAACACAAGCAATACATTGTCTTGTATTCACAACTAAACAGTGTTCATGAGAAGTGAATACATAAACACGCCGAGGATAATAAACACCGTTGAAAAAAGTACACCCCAATAACCACTATCACTTGGTTAACACTGTAACACTTGATATAATTACCACGATCGAGGTTCGAGAATTAAGGGTTTTCTATTTAGCTTGTTGGGAAACGGTGTGCTATAGGAAGTATTTTATGAGCAGTGTTTATTATCCTCGGCCTGTTAGTGTATCCCAATCTCAAGAGTGGATTTCCGGTTAAGTGGATTTACGAAACGGTAAGCATTTATATTTTCAACACTAGTTGACTTCAGAATATTCCAATACTTTTTGATCTGCCACACCTACTGCGGCGTAGTTAAAGTTTGTGCGTCGAGACCAAAGGTTGTGACTACAGCATTACGGGTTTTGGCTAAAGGAATGTGGGTCGAGGGTAAAGGACTGTGGGTTAAAGCTTGGTTAACGCTTGTTGGGAAAAGCTATAGGTAAAATATGATATGACAGTATTGGAGAATTTGATTTGTTCATATGATGAATTTTTCGTGTATAAGCTCACGCCTCGTGAACTGAAAAGCGGGGAAGCAATGGATGGATCTCTCCAGCAGTGCGGATAGAACCCGGTACTTCCTCAGTGCCACGGCACCTCAATAAACGTCTACAACAACCTCAAATCTTCTGGTTTAACCAGCGGCAACTTGGTTGTGTTACGAGCTCAGGGTTCCCGTTCTGAAGCGCGTCACGGCCGGTCGTAGTCAAATTTACTTCACGCTGCTGATTACAACACTCACTTAATTTTACCCACTGTTTAATCCTGCGAATCTAAGTGAAATAAGAAAGCAACTTAAAAACCTCCTTGAATCGTTTATATATCTGGCAAAGTAAAGTCGACCGTTTTGTTTTGACCTTTCTTCGGTTTTGAAAAACAAATATTGGTTCTACATTTTAATAGTATACTTAACAGATGGCGACAACGAGCATTTTGTTTAGTTTCAACTGTGAAAAAAATTCACAAAGCATTTTTCAGACCTGATCCCAGTTCATTGAGGTAACAAATGAGTACTGGAAGCAAACCGTTGACCACTGTAAAGGTATAAATTCGACAGACAACTTTTGGAAAAGTTATTAATCGATTAAACGCGCGCTGTCGGATCTTTCCTTTCACTTGTAGACAATGTT